GAGTCCAATGATTTCCCGATTAGCAATCATTAAGTCCGTCTAATTCTAGACGGTCCATCAAGTCCCGAATCAGTGACTTAACAGATTGGCTTATTAGAAAAAATCTAAGTCAAATATGTCCGCCTAGTACGGTGTTATTAAGACCGTCTAGATTTGGTCTAGGATGTTATATGCGCATGCGTCGATGAATGCCCAGCTGTTAAGTAACATGGCGCCTAATGGCGTCGCGTCGTTTGGCGTCGTTAGATCAGTCAGTGTGTGATGCATTTTGTTTGTGAATTATAGTATTTGTTGTGGTTTCTGTTTTACGTGAATAATAATGTGCTATGTTGTTGTTGTTTTCTGTATAATTTAATTTTAAATGTGCACTGAAAAAATAGATTTTGATGTGTTTCTATGTGTTTTGATTAGTCGGCTGAAGCTAGCAGTCGTACTCAGCATCAATGTTTAGGCGTCATCTACAAATATGCCTCTCCTTCAAATTTAGTAATACTTAATGATTTAAAAAACCATCGAGTATTGTTATTTGAGAATCAATATTCACTAAATAGCAAATTTAGTAAGTTTTTATTTATTAATTTCATTAATTAGTGGTTGACGCCTAAAGATTGGTGCTGAGTACGACTGATAGTTTCATCCGGCTGTTTTGATTTGCAGTAAATTTTATTTTACAAAAAGACTACTATCTCCAATGCCAAAGATTGGGAGGGACACAAAGCCTTACGCTTAAAGAAAGTTGAAGTGAAAAATACAGAAAGTTAAAATATTTTTTAATACTTTTTATATAAAAAAAAGTCATTAAAATTATTTCAAATATAATTAAGTTTTATTATTCTAAGAATAGTTGTCATAACATATAATGAGAAATTTTGAATAGACGTAGATTAGAATTTACTAGCACTGCTGATCAGACCAGAAACGCTGGTCTATTCTAGACGATAGCGTGGAAGTTTCGTTTCAATTCTGAACAGCCGCTCGACAAGACCGTCTGCCCTGGGTCTAGAAAGACGTTAGACAGTCTATTAAGCGCTTGGTCAGCGCCCTAAAATTTTTCCACACGGGATTTACATGAGATTTTCATTAACAACGCACTGAATAATGACAGACATGAAAAATTATTAACTATTTTGTAACAATTCACAATGTTGAGTACTTATTTCTCATAATGCTTCACAGCACACTACCAAGCAAATTTAATTTTTTCTTTCATTCTTTATTTTTCTTCTTGTATATATATATGTGTGTGTTTTTTCTTTTTTTCGAACATCATTTGCATCCATATATGCAGTGGAATTTATTGGAATTGTTTGCATGCTCTTCTGCATAAATGATTGTTGTGTAATTACAGACAAATTTAATTAAACCATTAAAAGCTGTTATTCGTACGCAGAATTTCATTTCTCTCGTTTCCCGCGGAAATCAAGAGGCGCGCATACCTATATATCAAAAATGTTCCCCGCATGTTTACGTTTTAAACCCATTGCATTCATAGGATTTTAAATGAAAACAACAATTTTCCTTTTTCAAGTATATCCGTGAATATCATCATGAAATTGAGATATGTTTTCAAATATATACATAGAAAAAGGGAGAGAGAGAGAGAGAGAGAGAGAGAGAGAGAGAGAGAGAGAGAGAGAGAGAGAGAGAGAGAGAGAGAGAGAGAGAGAGAGAGAGAGAGAGAGAGAGAGAGAGAGACAAAAACTACATTCGAAAGCAAAAAAAGAATTGTAACATTTCTTGAAGAAAATGTTTTAAATTAAAAATATTATCAAAGAAAAAAAGTTTTAAAAAAAAACTCTTTTTTAATATTGTATTAGAATTACAAATTCATAACATTTTTAGAAGGGAGAATTTTGTCGGGGAGAATATATTTAACGGTGGTGTTCCTAAACATACTTTCAATTTATTCTGTTCGTAAGTTGTAAGTTTGAAAACTTTTGGAACAATTGTTTAAATGCTTTAAACTTGAATGTTTAAGTAGTTAAGAGGATTATACTATCTATTGCGTTAAAACATTAATTTTAAGTAGCATTTACATAAAGTTCACCGAAAAATAATAATCCGAAAATTCAGAATAAATCTTTGACACCTATTTTAGAACACTTTCAAAGGCAATTAAATTTAGTATTAACTTTAGGCCTCTTCGTTTTTACACAAAAACAATTAATAAAAATTGGAATTTTTATCAAAAATCATAGAATTTTTATCATGACTCAAAAAATATTTATAAAAACTCATAAAAAAAACTATTTTACTATTCAACGAGAACTCATAGAACTGTAATTAAAACTCGTAAAAGAACTGCAAATTTAGCAACTTTCAAAATGTGTTTTTCGGATTTTTAATTTAGAGAAAACTGTTACTAGAATCATTTATAAACTCTTCGAAAATAAATGTGAAACTCTTAACAGAATTCATAGAACTCTGGAAGAACAGATCTCATAAACTCTTATTAACTCGCAGTTAATAATAAAATGATTTTTCATCGTCAGAATAGAATGAAATTTGTAGAACTCTTAACTAATAAAACCGGAATTCTTCTAAAAAATATAGACCTCATAGAACTTTATTTAGAACTCATAGAAATTGCAATTTTGTAAGAACTTCCGAATATCTCATCTTTTTCGAATTTTAACTATAAAGGAGAAACTCTTACTAGAATTATTTATAAACTCTCTGTAAATATTTCCAAAATTCTCTGTAGAACTCATAGAAATTTAGAAGAACAAAACTCATAAAGAGTTCTAAGTTTTGAATAATTTATTTGCTAGCATTATTTTTGCAAGATCTGTCAATAACAAAATATTAATGACAGAAAAAAATTAAATAATTCTTCTCAAAACTCTTTGTAATGAACTCATAGAACTCATAGAACTGTGATTAAAAATCATAGAACTCTAAATTTTAGGAAATTTCAAAGTGACGCACTTTTTTCAAATTTTGCCTTAGGAAGAAAATGAATAAAATAGAAGCAGTTTTGAAAACCCCTTTGTATAATCTCAGAACTCTTAAAAAGAACTCATAGAACACTAAGTTCTGAAGCCTTAATTCCTCGAAAAATTGAAAAAAAAATTTTTAATTTTGAGCCCAGAGGGAACTGTCAGAATTATTTTTTAACTCTTTGAAATAAAAACCAATTTTGAAGAATTTTAAATTATAATGAAAACTTATAGAACAGTAATTAAAAATTTAAAACTCATAAAAGGACTGTAAATTAAGAAAATTTAAAGTGTATTTTTTCGGATTATTGCTCTAAGAAACTATTATTAGAACTACTTTTTGAACTCTTTGTAAATATTTACAAAGATCTTAACAGAACTCATAGAACTTTAAACAACTAGACCTCCTAAAGCACTCTAAATTTTAAAAATTGAATTTTCTATCAAATTATTTCTAAACTAACAGAATTATTTTTATAGATTTTCAGATACTAACAAAATTTTTTTCGTATGCAGAACAAAACACAGTACAACTATCTTGTGAAGCTAGAATTCTTGCAAAAAATTCCTAACTCATAGACCTTTGGTAAAATTCATAAGAATTTAAATTTTAAAAAAACTTCCGAGTAGCGCATCTTTTTCCGAATATTTACTATAAAGAAAACTATTAATTTAATTATTTAAAATGAAAATATTTGTAAATGTAAATACTTTCAAAACTCTTAGCGGAACTCATAGAACTTTAGATGAAACAAAACTCATAAAGAGTTCTAACTTTTGAAAAATCTATTCACCAATTAAGTACAGCATTATTTTTTGGAATTTCAGTTAATAAAAAAATTTTACTATTTGGCAGATAATTTTAAAAAAAAATTTGCAAAACTCTGTAATGAGTCAAAAAATCAAGGTCAGAAGTCAGAACTATTATATGATTAAAAATCATAGAACTCTAATTTGTATAAAAAATTTTTTCTGATTTTGCGTTAAAAAAGAAGTGAAAAAAGCAGTGTTTGAAAACGCTAAAAAAAACCTGAAAAAATGTAAAAACTCTTAAAAAAAATTCATAGAACACTAAATTTTGAAAACTTCATTTCTTGCAAACTTATTTCTCATCAAAACTCATAAAATTGAATACTTTTTCAAAACATCCAAGAGCCCAACATGTCCGATTTTTCAAAATTATCTTCAAAATTGTTTTCAAAGAAAAAGAACGAAAGAAAAGAAAAACCTTACTAAGAAAGCAATGAAGAAAATAATTGTTCGCTTCAAATAAAATCCATAAAGACTACTATAAGTAAAATATATTTATAATAATTTCCTTTGTGTTACGCGTGTGCAATGCCATTATATCTCGCATTCGCACACAAAATTGCGTTTGCCCCATGAGACCAATGCGATTTTCGCGCTGAATCTCGTTACCTGATCGTAAAAGCCGCATGACGCATATATAGAGAATGCATCTATATCTATAAATGACGGACTGAAAGCTTTTTTCGTTTTTCTCTTCTCTCATTTTTTTTTTTTTTTTTTTTTTTTTTTTTTTTTTTTTTTTGAATCGTCCAACTGTGTCACCGAGTAATATTACACGTTTCATGAAAATATATTCTCCTATCTTTAAAAAGTATCATCGCCATTGCTTTATATATTGAATCGCCAATATATGTACTTTTATGCCTATACATCCACACCGAAATTAAATCACTCATTGGACAATTCTTTTTTTCACTTTTGACACGCGAGCATCAAATTTTACCGCTCGTCCTTTTTAATTTACCATTAGTATATTATCAATTCTTTTTTTAATTTACATTTTTTTAGTTTTTAATTTATTTTTACTTTTTTAAAAAATTTATTTTTCAATTTAATATTTGCTTATTAAATTAATTTATTTGCTTTTTTATTTTTTCATTATACATTATTTTATCGTTTATTTTTTATAGTAATAAATAAAGTAAATAAATAAAATTAGAAAAAAATTTACATAATATGCAGTAAAATTAAAATTAAAATTTTTCTATTTAATTAAATAATTTAATTTTTTGCTTTTGTTTTTGTTTTCAGATTAAGAAAAGAAACAGCTGGAGGAGCGTGGTGTCCAAAAAAGCAAATAGAAAATGGAGTGCGGGAGTGGCTGCAGATTGATTTGAAGAGAACTTATGTCGTTACTGGCATTGAGACTCAAGGCCGATTTGACCACGGACGAGGACAAGAATACGTCGAGGAATATACTCTAGAGTATCGAAGAACAACTTTCGGTGATTGGAAACCATACAAAAAATGGGATGGCAAAGAGGTAATAGAAATCTCGAAAGAAAACACGAAAAACCATTTTCGAAATAATCAATTTCCACAAGAGAAAGAAAAACTATTTATTTAAAAAAAATTTTTCAAACCATAATTTTAATTAGTTTTAAATAATTTTATAATTATTTTATTCAAATAATTTTTTGATTACTGTTTGAAATTCAAATTCAAAAATTTTCTCTACTAAAAAATACTTAATATTCAAAATTCATTTCCACTAAAAAACTTTGTTTCAAAATTTTTCTCCCCCCGAATTTTCTTCTTTTGCAAAGGAAAAAAAAAGTTTTTTCCTGAAACAAATTTAACATCGAGAGGAATATGAACTTTTCTCAAGAATGAATCACAATAATCTTTTTTTTCTTATACCCCAAGTATTAAATTCATTACAGAGAAAATCTTTGGTGCCTTTTCCCGTGAAAAGAAAGATGAAAAAAGAAAGAAAGAAGAAAAATGAAAGGAAAAAAAATGAAATAAAAAGATTGTTGGAAAAAGTTTCTGAAAGCTGTGCCCAGCGGCATTTTATCTCATCTCTAGGATATTTAATTCACTTTTGTTTAAAGTTCCATTTTACTTTGACCTGTAACTTAATGATTTTTGTTCAACTCGTTTCTTCCTGTGAGAAAGGAATACAAGTTTACAAAAAATCGAAATTTCTACTAAGAAAAAAATAAAAAAGAGAGACGCGAAATTCATCCACTATTCGGGATATTACAACCGAGCACTGCAATGCCGATGCATGAAGCTAATAACCCCATTATGTAAATACTAGGCGTTACGAAACCTCAGACAAAGCTTCGAAAAGAGTAAAAAGGAAAAGATTATTTGAATTGCGGCTAAAAGAAGAACGGAAAAGGGGCAGGAAAAGAAAGAGGCCATTAGCGTCAAATAACGAACTATTATTTCTCAAAAATAAAGGGACCGAATTTCATTTGAGTTTCCTAAAACTGACTTCATTAAATATACTGCCGCTAATATTCTCTCATTTTCATTTCACCCCGAATTCCGTTCGAGTTATGGTCTCGAAAAATTAGGTTATTGTTTATCAAATCTCATTGTTACAAGTTTCAAAATTAAAAATCAGTTACTAATTTCATTTAATTAACTGAATTAAAATTTTCATTTTATTGATTTAACTAAATTAAATTAAATTTCATTTTATTTAATTAACATAATTAACCGTATTATTTTCATTTTATTTTATTTAATTTACCTAATATTATTCCAATTATATTTTATTTAATTGATTTACTTAATATTATTCCGACTTTATTTTATTTAATTAACTTAATTAAATTTATTGTAATTAAATACAATTTAATTTGAGGTACAGACGATTTTTTATTCACTCATATGTATTCTCAGGTATATTAACTAAAAAATACGAAAAAAAAATTACAAAAATGAACAATTAATATTAATTTATAATTTACGGTAATTTTTAATTAATATAGCAATTTATATAACCATTTAGTTTATAGAAATTTATAATTTATATAGTAATTTATAATTTACTGTAATTAATTGTAATTAATTTATTATCATAACTTATAATAATCAAAAATTTACAACTAATAGATTAAAATAATTAAAATAAGTTATATTTAATGACAAAACGAATCTAATTTTAAAACCCGTTATTTTTAATAATATATTCATCGGACACTTATTTTCGCTAAAATTAAAAATAATCGATAAGACTATAAATAACTCCACTATCGTCAACGCATCGTCTCAAAGTTGAACTTTAAATAAAAAAACTGCCCTTTTAGCCGTAAAACACTTAAATTAATCAATTTTCCACGTCAAATTGCAATTCAATAAAATTTTTTATTTATAATTTAATTTATTATTCCACACAATTAACACATCCCACTAAAATATGTATATTCTCTTAAAATTGAAAATATATTTTTCAACCAGAAAAAAACATTTTTTAAAAATTAAACATGAAATTTTTATTTTAATTAATTTAATTAATTTAATTTTCATTACAAAAATAAAATACAGCAAATTAACAAATTGCTCTTTTACACATGCATTTTCTCCATCTCTAAATTTAGCAAAAACCATTTATTAATTATACGAAAAATATTAATTAGAATTATTATTAAAACAATAAATGGAATTTTTCCTCTGTATTTCAATATATATTTGTTTGCAAATTTATTTTCAATTTTTTTCCACAAATAATTACACGATAAAATTAAATCTGTCTAGACATTCGAATATTTTTACATTGAAATATCCTGTGTTCTCAAAACTTTTAATTGAACTTTAATTATTGGAAAACTAAAATTTTCATTTCAAATAAATTGAATTTTACTTTTTTTGTTTTATTTTATTTAAAAAAAAAAAAGAGGAAAAATTAATTAAGGACCACGAAATTTTATTAATAATTGTCGCTTCATTGTTTATTACTTGGGAAAATTAGTCAATTAATTAAGTTCGACGATTTTGTAAATAAATAATATTATCTATCTATTAATAAATCTTTTAAGAAAATTAATTTTCGAATTAAAAATTGTGATTATAATTTTTACTATTTTTTACAACAATTATTTAATATTTTGTTTACTATAACTTTTTAATGTTATTTTTAAAATAACTTTTTAATACAATTTTTAATAAAATTTTTAATATAATTTTCAATTCAATGTTTAATACAATATTTAATAGAATTTTCAATAAAATTTAATATAACTTTTAATAAAGTTTTCAATAAAATTTGATATAATTTTTAATAAATTTTTTAATACAATTTCAAATATAATTTTTAATTTTTAATTTACAATTTTTAATATAAAATTTTAATATTTTTTTTAATATAATTTTTTAAATAGTTTTCAATATAAGTTTATTTATGTTTAAATATATTTTTAACAATAGTTTTTACTTTTTACAATAATTTTTAGTCCCGCTTTTTAATATACAGTATTTCAAGTAAATTATTTACAAAATATGTTCCAACTAATAAAACTTTTACAACTCTCTGAGCACTGAAAACAAAATTATTTTTCAAAACAAATAATAAAATGAATGAAATCAGTTATTTAATTTCGTCTAAATAAAAACAGTTTAATAGAGCAACTCTTCATTTTAATAAAATTATAAATGAACTGAAAGAAGAGTCAGCAAAAAAAAAACTGATATTAAAAGAAAAAAAAGCGTTTCAAATATAGGGAAAAATTATTCCACGATAGTTTAGCTTAAATCAAATATTCCTCTGAATTGAATGAAAAATGAATTCAATAAAATATTTGCCGAGTCATTCAAACAAAAGGGTTTTACAAATTCAAATAAATTCAATTCAGAAATATGATAATTACACATCATAATTTTATTACGATATACCGTATTCATTAAAAGTCAACCATAATTTTAGAATAATTCTCAATTATCCAATCAATTTTCGATTCAATATTTGAAATAAAGGAAAAAAGTGTTTGTAATTATTTAATAAACATTTAATTAATCTACACGTTCGAAATAAAATTCCTTTATCAATTTATAATTATCAATTTTTAATTTATCAATTAAAAAAAATTATTAAAAAATTCCTTTTTTATTACTAATTCCATTAAATTTCCAAGATTGGAATATTTTTTAAATTTACAGAATTTCTTTCCGAATCAATAATTCATCAAATTGTCAGAATAAAAAGAACAAGCAAAAAAAAAAAAAAAAAAAAAAAATGATAAAAAAACGAATAAAAATTTAAAGTTTAGAAAAAAGTATTGCAAATTTAATCTACACATCAAAATGAATTTTAAAAAAATCTTTTATTCATTTTCTTCGAATTAAAAATTATGTTATATAATAAATACATTATACTATCAAAGTGTTTCTAGGGATATCAAATTGAGACAAAAAACGAATCAAAACTGTTGCGAAACAACGTTTTCAATCGTTTTTGGTCTCAATTTGATATCCTTAGAAAATATGTGATTACAAAATGTAGTATCAAAATTTTTAGTAAAAATATTTACTAATGTGAATTTCTGACGAAGTTTTTGCTTTTGAATTAGTTTTTCTTAAAGTATTTTTAGTTTTTACTTAGTCAAATTTACTAATTGAAAAGCAAAAGTATTTTTAATGATGATTTAGTAGAAATTACTATTTATTAGTAAAATTTACTAATTGAAAAGTAAAAAGTATTTTTAGTAATGAATTAGTAAAATTTATTAATTGAAAAGTGAAAGTATTTTTAATGTTGATTTAGTAGAAATTACTATTTCCTAGTCAAATTTACTAATTGAAAAACAAAAGTATTTTTAATGATGATTTAGTAAAAATTACTATTTACTAGTAAAATTTACTAATTGAGAAGCTAAAAAATACTAAAAATACAATAAAAAAATACTAAAAATAGTAATTAGTAATTAGTAATGATATAGTAAAAATTACTATTTATTAGTAAAATTTACTAATTTAAAAGCAAAAAGTAGTTTTAGTGATGAGTTGGTAAAAATTACTATGTATTAGTAATATTTACTAATTAAGAAAAAAATCAGTCATTAATTCGAATTAGTAAACATTTTTACTAATATAAATTAAGAGAGTGATTCAGGAATAATTTCCTAAATTTTCAAGAATAAGTTAAATTTACAAAACAAATTATCATTTTCTAATTATATCGAATTTGATTAACAGGTCCTAGCTGGAAATAGTGATACGTCGTCAGTGGTTTCACACGAGCTTATTCCGCCGATTTTCGCGAGCCAGATACGCGTGTTACCTCACTCCGTACACAGGCGCACGGTTTGCCTTCGCATCGAGCTCAAAGGCTGCAAAGATCAGAGTGAGTATACACAACTTGCATAAATAATGTAGGCTCAGACCGTCTTCGTCTTTCTCTCTCTCTCTATCTTTCTCTCTCTATATATAAGAGAGAAGTAGAAGAGAAAAATAAGAAAAGAAAAATAAATGTGAGCAGGAAACTCCTTTCCCCGCCGGTTTATTTCGACACGCCGGAAGCGACTCGGTTTTCCCTCAATTCTCTCTCTAAAGGTAACCGTTCTAAAAGCGTGAAATTTTTATCATAGCTACATTCGCTCTAGACTTTGTAAACTACTTTACTATATATAATAACGTATTTTTTATTTGTTTTTTAAATTTTCCATCGACATTTCCTCTAATCGAATTATAATTATAATTGTATTTAATTTGTCGCCTTTCTTTCAATTATTCAATTATTTTTAATGTATTTTAAATTATTTCAATTATTAAATTTTTCAAAATGTCTACTATTTTCTCTTGACGAGTTTCTTTAAATTTTTAGAAAATAATGTTTTTTTATTAATTTTATTTTAAAAATTTGGAAAAGTATTGAATTAAACAAAGAATTTTTTTCAATTTTTTAAAATAATCTTGTCTGTTTATAATTATAATTAAAAATTTGATGAGTTCAATTTAATTAAAATGTATTCATACTAATTGAATTTCTGTAAAAAATTTTACTATTTATAAAAGTAATATATAAATTTAATTATTTATAAAGATAATTGAAATTTTGAGATTTTAGAAAAAATTTTAAACATAATTGAATTTCTGCGAAGAATTTTATTACTTTTGAAAATAATTGAATTATTGTGAAGAATTTTTTTTACAAATAATATTCCAAAGAATTTAGTAAATCTGAAGGATTTTGCTATTTATGGAAATAATTGAATTCTTGAGAAGAATTTCTAACCTCTAAGGTAAGATTAATTTTTAATTTCAATAAAAATCTTATGGAAAACTTTTTTTTGGGTAAAAAACAATATTCTTACGATTCATTATCAATTGGCATGTGTATTATTTAATAACCTGTAATATTCTATAAATTCCTAATCAATCAATAAAGTCAAATTAATTGCGTCAATCTATGAAGAGCCAGTGGTATTTCAAAACCCCCCCAGAACTTTGATTATTCAGTATCGCTTATGGCAAACTAGCATTAATTTGTCATTAATCCAGTCTGTGCCGCGGTTTCTATATTCCGGTCTTTCGAAAACCAAGCAATCTAGAATGCAACTAGTTCAACATATAATATCTGTGTATAATAATAATAAAAATAAAAATAATAATATTACTATTATTATTATTATTATTATTATTATTATTATTATTATTACTATTATTATACTATTATTATTATATAATAATTAATGTTATCTAAAAGTCAAGTATTAAAAAGTTTCTATAGTTATTCATTCTATTCATTTCCAGTAGTACAGGTCAATTTGAGTCCGACACTGATTTCTGGTTTCGTTGCTTGTATAATTTTCTAGTAGTAAAGATCAAGCGTTGTCAGACATTTATTAGAGTCTTTCCATAATTTTTCAGTAGTAAAGTTTAATTTTTTTCAGACATTTACATACTTTCATTTTTTTTCAAAAATATATAGTCGTAAGGCTCAAATGTTATCAGACATTTTCTATAGATTCATTTTTTCAAATTTTAGTAGTATAGATCAAGTGTTGTCAGACGTTTAATTATATTTTTTTTAATTGTTAGTAGAAAAGATCCAATTATCATTAAATAATTATTAAGTTACTCTTTTCATTTTTCAGTAGTAAAAGTCAAGTTTCGTCAGACACAATTAAACCGCTGCGCCGGATCGTAGAAGGTTCAATTTTCTACAGTTTAATTTATTTGAAAAATTTTCTACACTGTAAAAAATTTAGGGAGTTAACGGACTCGGGAGTTGGGAGTGAAATTTTTCGAGTTAAAAATCAACTCCAAAAGAGAGTTAATTTCAAATAAACTCTTTAATGCCAGGGGAGTTAATAACTCCCCTGGCATTAACTCTCCAATGGGTGCGACTTTTATAGACCCCCCGGGGGAGTTAAAATTTAACTCCCTTTTTTTACAGTGTAGTAGAAAAGATCAGCTATTGTCAGACACTTAATACAGTTGTTTATTAATTTTTCAGTAGTAAAGCTCAAGAGTGTGGTCAGCCATTTTATAGTTTTATTCTTCTTATTTTCAACAGTTAAGGTAAAAACTATATATTTAAAATGAGTATGTTTAAAATATATATAAATATGTAAGTACATATATCGATATCGGAATTTGCATAAATGATTTTTCTGGGTCGCTAATAACCAACAACATTTCGCGCGCTATAAGAAACATTCAGAGCGTGTGAGATCGAGCTCACTGGGCGGGAATGGCAGATTTATGGGGGTCGCTCACGGCATCTGCTTAAAACACGCTTCCACACAGCCACTCACCACCAGCGTTCTACCAAACCATTACCTACAAATCTCAACCATCAAGAAGGAATAATGCCAAATCAAGGATAAAAATCATTTTTCAATCCATTTACCTTATGTTTTCGATAGATTGAATCTCCTTTCCGAAAGAATATTAGAATTCCTTTTTCTTCCTATTTCCTCGACATTCGAATTAGTGCACCAAAAAAAAGGGTGATTTTTATTCGACAGTTCAATGTAAGAAAAAACTACTCTCTAAAATTGAATTAGTACAAGTGATTAATAATTTGAATTTGAAAATTTACTAATTCAAAATATTAAATTTTACTAAATTGGATTCAGTTTTTTCATTTTTCATTTTAAGTAGTAAAGGCCAAGTGTTGTCAGACATGGTATAAAGTTGCGTTTTCCAAATTTTCAACAGTAAAACTCAACAATTGTCCAACAATTATTAGATTTTTTTTTTTATTTTTCAGTAGTAAAACTCAAGTTTTGTCGGACACGAAAAATTATAATTATTCCGAATATCAAATGCAATCAAACATTTTCTTTTTTTTTTGATAGTAATGAGAAAGAGACTCTAAACAATTTCAATTTACTCTCAGCAGTAAAGGTCTCTCAAAGTCAGACAAAAATTACATTAATAACCAAAAACTTTCAAGACTTCCTCACTAATCATAATTTCCAACCGCTATGGATTATATTCATAAAATTAAAATAAACTTTTCTCGCGGTGCAAAAATTTTAATTTCTCTTCATATAAAAGCCAAAGTTATTTAATTATATTTAAACGAACACTTTTTGCCATGAAACGTTGCGAGTTTTTGGAATATAATAGTCGATCAGGAAGAAGATTGTGTTCCCAAGTTTTCATCTTTACTTTTCCTTTGCCTTTTATACGGTTCACTTTTCAGCTCTGAACTATGCACCAATTAAACTTTTCCCCAGCATAACGAGCTGATCCAATTTCTTTATCTCGTTTTGTACACTATTTTTACTTTTTCTAAATATCAGCTCCTGTTGGATATCATTTCTTATTTTTATCTACAGCTTTATTTCACCGTTATTTTATTAAAAGAAGTCTTCATTAAAAGCAATAAACCTTCGTACAATTTACCCATCTTCTATATGTATATACATAAAATACTTCATTGTATAGTCCCATTCTTAACCTGCTTTCATTATTCAAAATTAAATCATTAAAATAATTATCACCGAAAGAAAATTATTTCAATATTTCAAACAATTTTTTGATAATTCCACTATCCTTATTAATGACGTAGAATGACTGGAATTCTTAAAAGCGGAATAAATCTCAAGTAAAATTTAAATTAAGACAAATCTTTAAATTAGATAATTCTATATATGTCAACTTGAAATTTAATGAACAAAAAATTGAATAAAAAATCATACAATAAAGAACTAAAGAACTTGAAGATATTTTAACGACTAAATACCTCTTATTCGCAGGAATAAAATATTAATTTTAATAATTTATAACAACGCTCCGCCATTCAATTAAAAAATCATAAAGTCAGTGTTAGTGATATTAAAAATTATTAAAAGCAGTACTTCATTAAATTTGAAGTACCCTCACTATACTGATTAATTAAAAGACTCTCACACATAAAATGGGAATTTGACTCTTGAAAACTTTGTGTGTTTTGATCACATAGGCGAAAATATACAGAAAACAATTGTAAACTATCATAAATTATTTTAAGGCAATAAATAACTGTTCTTTATCTCAGTTGATTTATATCTGAGTGTCTAGGGGAGAGACATTAGGGAGAAAATAATAGTTTCAATGGTATCAAGCGAGGCACGAGACAGTGGCTGTATTTCTATTACAGAAAGTGATACATTTCTATCCCAAAGACATGAAACTCTATTATCAACATAACGCTATATAAGTATATACATACATATTTAACTCATATATGTATATAGTGAAACAAAATAAATGTTCATAAAGTCCTTTGTGTGTCATATGTGAAATGCATTGGCGACAAGCTTTTCTTGGCTCAAGTATAATGGAATTTATTACGGATTATGAGATTTTCAAAGTCTTATCATCAAGACATTGCTGTAAAAATTATATTCACACCACAACAAGAGGCGCATTTGCAACACAATTTTTTTTACTACAAAAAACAGAAAATGCAAAATATAAATTTTTTCTGTTCGTATTTTTAGAAAATAATAATTTGTAATTATTAACATCAAAGATTTTTTTTACACACATGACTTAATTATTTGAGTTTTAAAATAGAAAAAGAAGAGAAAATACAAAAGAAACAAATAAAAACTTATAAGAATTTTTTCAACTTTAGGTGAATTTTACAACTGCTCGAAAACCTATTTTCAAAAAAAATGAATTGCCTGACTATAACAAGTTTTCACTACTGTTTCCAAACTACCAATAACTTGATAAAACTTTACCTGATTATAAATGTCTGACAAGACTCGACTTTTACTACTGAAAAATTAATTATAAGTCATGTCTGACAACACCGAAGCTTTACTACTAAAGAATTAAGAAATTAATTTTAGATAATATCTGACAACACTTAGGTTTTACTACTAAAATAATTTTTAAAAG